GTTGAATGAGTTATTCAATGTAAACTGATGTTGGATGAGATATGATGGTGAATGAGATGTGCATGTCGAGACATGTGGAGTGAGCCTCAGATTTCAGGCGAGATGACCCCAGAGTTGGGGATTAGGACCTTTCGTCTGGGACTCCCACGCTTCCCTACATAGTGGATAGTGCAGCCATGTATGGGCTTCTCCCTTCGACGTTCAGCCTCGCCAAAAGGAGGCATGTGGAGTGAGCCTCGGAGTTCAGGCGAGGTGACCCCTGAGTTGGGGATCAGAACCTCTCCTCTAAGGCTCTCATGCTTCCCTACATGGTGGATGGTACAGTCATGTAGAGGCTTCTCCCTTTGACGTTCAGCCTCGCCAAAGGGAGGCATGTAGAGTGAGTCTCAGAGTTCAAGCATGGTGACTGATAAGTGTGTTTTTACACACTTATTTAGCTCACAAACATGACTTAAACATGGACAAAGTAGTTGAATTGTGACTTAATCTTGTTAAATTCTTGCAATGTAGGTGTTCCCATGGAAAAGATGGAATTCAGAAGAAAAGAGCCGAAAAAGGACCAAAACGGAACAAAGCGATAGTTCGGGGACCAAAGGTGCAAATATTGGAAAATTGAGCTAAAGTACAGAATTAGAATGAAAATATACCAAGTATGAGATTGAGGATGATACGAGACGATTGGAGGAAGAAAGAAGTAACATTGGACTGAATTGAAGAAAAGTGAAAGATGAAGGACTAAATTGCAATTAATCAAAAGATGAGCCGAGCAAATGATCAAGGAATTGATTGACCCAAACATCAATTAGGAGTTAATATGTGATAATGGAACATAGGAGATCAAGAAAAGAGAAAACGGAGTTCAAGGATCAAAATGACAAGGTTGTAACTTTACAACCTTGCGGCCGCATGTAACTATACCATGCGGCCGCACATGGTGATGCAGGGTTTTAATTGAGCAAAAAAATTGAACCATGCGGCTGCATGGCCTTAATTTCGGAAAAAAAATTTGAACTTCTGTTTTTAATTGAAACTCTTTCGGGGCTCCGTGAGGACATGATATAAAAGTCAAAATTCATCAGAAATAGGGCAGAACGTCCAGGGAGAAGAAGAATACAACTTTTGGAGGCAAGGAACATGAACTTGAAGCCGATTTCACAAGGATTCAAGTGGGTTTTCAAGGTTTTGTTCAAGATTTCAGATTTCAAGAACTTTCATATGGGTGTTATTCTTTCTATTTATTAATTTCGTTTTTTTTGTAATTATTATCTTCTAGGCTAGGTTTTCAATTACTAGGTGATCGATGAACCGTTGTTTGTTATTTTAATTCTATATTTCATGAATTTAATATAAAGACTTGTTAGGATAATTTGATTGATTTACATGCATTAATTTTCTTCCGCAATCAGTGGCCAATGATTGTGTGAGTGTTGATGACTTATTTCTTACATTCGAGAGAAGTGGAATAGGTTCGATAAGGTGTAAATTAACATAGAGTCCGATAGGGGATAGTGATATACCCCTATGCTTTATGCAATTTTTAAATTGTTCACAATACTACATACATTCTTGTATGTTTGCATCATCCATAGAGATATAGGTTGGTGGTGTGCAAGAATAGGTCTAATATATATTGAGAGAGTATATTGGATAGAATTAGGAACATTGAATTGGCAAATTTTCATCGAATCATTAATTTTATGAAATTAGGGTTTTTATAACTTCAATTGGGGATTCGTGATCTTAGTGACTTTAGTTTGATTCATTTTAATAAATTAGCTTTTAAACTTGCTTAATTTCATTTACTTGAGTGTTTAAATCGTTTAATTAGATAAATTTTGAAATTAGGGCTTCTAATTGAGAAATTAGGGTTTTCAATTGAAATTAGGGCTTTTAGTTGAAATTAGGGGTTTTAATTGAAATTAGGGCTTTTTGCATTTAGACCATATTTTCACTCAATTAGATTCGATTAAGGCTAGATTATATAGAATCGAACTACTCAATCTCTGAGGGACGATATTCGGACTTTTAAAAATTCATTTTATTACTTGTTACGAACCGTACACTTGCGGTAATTTTAAATTGAAAGAATTATTTCGTGAACAAGTTTTTGGCGCCGTTGTCGGGGATTGAGTATTCGTTTAATTTTATTCAATTTAGCACTAATTCGAACTTTTTATTTTTAATTTATTTTAGTTCATTTTATTTTATTGTTAGTTAGTTTTATTACATAAGTGCATATTTTAGTTACTTAAATCCTTAAATTGAATTTTATTGCAGAAGTGCATGCTGAGATCTGCTAAGGAGATCTACTCCCAGCCGATCCAGAGATCGAACGAAGTTTCAGAAGAAGGCAGAGAGAAAACAGAGCAGCGAGAAATCAGATGGAGAACGTACAACACAATCCTGTTGTACAAGCCAATGAAAGAGGGGAAGAAGACGAAGGAAACATGCTCGTTGGAGAGTTCATGACCCCTCAAATCATTCAAAGCCAGTCCAGCATTGTGTATCCACCGTTCGGACAGCCAAATTTCCAGTTGAAGACAAATGTGATACAACTGTTCCAGAACGGACATCAGTTTTATGGAAGAGTTGAAGAGAACCCGCACACGCATGTCTCGTGCTTCTTAGAGATGTGCCAGCATTTTAGATATCAAGGAATCTCTGACGACACCATAAGATTAAGATTGTTTCCACATACTTTGCGGGACAAGGTGATTGAATGGCTTGATTCTCAGCCAATAGCCAGCATTACTACTTGGAATGACCTAGCTCAGAAGTTCTGTACTAAGTTCTTCCCACCGGCCGAGATTGCAAAGCTAAAGCACGACATATCTATCTTCAGGAAAGGTGAATCTGAAAATTTTGATGAGGCTTGGAACAGATTCAAAAATCTACTAAGGAAGTGTCCGCACCACGGGATTAGCAAGGGACTTCAGATCCAATATTTTTATGCAGGGCTACTTCCAGCTTTCAAGAGCATGGTCGACTGTTCAGCTAATGGGTCATTGTCCACAAAAACAATTGATGAAGCATTGAAGTTATATGAGACAATGGCTACAACCTCAGCAATGTGGACCATGGAACGAGCAGTACCAAAGAAGACACCAGGAGTTTATGAAGTGGATGTATTCTCAGCGTTATCTGCTAAGATTGATTCCTTATTTCACAAGGTGGAAAACATTACCCAGTCAGCTAACGCAGCACAGGCAAAGAAGGCAAATTGTGAGGAATGTGGAGCTGAGCATGTGACAGCAGAATGCCCAATTTTGACACAAGGAAAAGAGCAAGCAGATTTTGCTCAATGGGGACAATGCCAGCAGAATAATGTGTATGGAGAGACCTTCAACCCAAGCTGGAAAAAGTACCCCAACTTTTCTTGGAGCAACCAAAATCAGAACAGGCCACAAGGGCAATATCAACAGCAAGAGAAGAAGCCTCAATTGGAAGAAATGTTCGGCAAATTCATGGAACAGACCAACCAATATAAGGAGGCGAACAACCAATTCATGACGAAGACAGAAGCCACTCTTCAGGACCAGAATGCAGCCATTAAGAATTTGGAAACTTAGATAGGACAGATGGCAGTTGCATTAACAGGTAGAGCACCAGGCAGCCTGCCAAGTAATACAGAAGTCAATTCGAAAGAGCATGCAAAGGCTATAACAACTAGAAGTAGAGTGGAATTGCCTGAGAGACAAGTGAATAATCCCGTGGCAAACAGAGAAGAGATGTCTCCTGAAGTAGAAGAGAATTTAGAGCAAGAAGAACAGACAGAAGAGCCAACACCGAGAGCAAATAAAGGAAACTCAAGGGATAAAGAAACTGTAGCTGTGAACCCCTATGAGCCACCCATACCGTTTCCACAGAGGCTGAAGAAGCAAAAGATGGAACAGCAATACAAGAAGTTTCTCGAGGTCTTCAAAAAGCTCCATATCAACATCCCATTCGTTGAAGCACTGGTTCAGATACCTAACTATGCAAAATTCCTGAAAGATATCCTATCAAACAAAAGAAAGCTAGGAGATCACGAGACAGTTATGCTAACAGAGGAGTGCAGTGCCAGGATTCAGAGAAAGCTCCCGCCAAAATTGAAAGATCCAGGGAGTTTCACTGTCCCTTGTACCATTGGTGAATTTTATTTTGATAAAGCTTTATGTGATCTTGGTGCAAGTATTAACTTAATGCCATTGTCTGTTTTCAGAAAATTAGGATTGGGAGAAGCTAAAGCTACCACGGTGACCTTACAGCTGGCTGACAGATCATTAACACATCCACGAGGAATAACTGAAGACGTGTTGGTTAAAGTGGAGAAGTTCATATTCCCAGTAGACTTTCTGATTCAGGATATGGAAGAAGATAAAGATGTTCCTTTAATACTGGGCAGACCATTCTTAGCCACAGGCAGAGTTTTGATAGACGTTCAGAATGGGCAGTTGATACTGAGATTGTGAGAAGAACAGATTTCATTCAATGTCTTCAAGGCCATGAAACTGCCAATAGAGACTGACAGATGTTTCAAGGTTGACATGATTGATAAAATGATTGAACAGTCATTTACACTGCAAAACCCATCAGATGCATTGGAGGCTTGATATTCTAAATCCACGAATTCTGATTCAGAAGACATAGAAATGTGTGCAAGATTTTTGGAGTCCAACCTACCTTATATGCGGAAACGATACTTTGAGGAGTTTGGGACAGGGCCAGAGAAATCACAGCCATCTATTCTGAAGCCACCAAAGTTGGAACTTAAGCAGCTGCCCCCACACTTAAGATATGCATATTTGGGGGAGTCCAATACACTTCCAGTGATAATTTCAAACATGGTTAGTGAAGTGGAGGAGGAAAAACTGCTTAGGGTGCTTCGAGATAACAAGCAAGCAATTGGGTGGACCATAGCTGATATTAAAGGGATCAGCCCTTCCTTATGTATGCATAAAATTCTCATGGAGGAGAATTTTCGACCAACAGTTGAAAGTCAAAGAAGGCTAAACCCAAACATGAAGGATGTAGTAAGAACTGAGGTGATCAAACTTCTGGATGCTGGAATAATCTACCCGATATCAGATAGTAAATGGACTAGTCCAGTGCAAGTTGTACCCAAAAAAGGAGGAATTACAGTGGTTCATAATGAAAAGAACGAGTTGATTCTGACAAGGACAGTAACAGGGTGGAGAGTTTGCATTGATTACCGCAAATTAAATACCGCTACAAGGAAAGATCATTTCCATCTTTCGTTTATAGATCAAATGTTGGAGAGATTGGCAGGCCATTCCCACTACTGTTTTCTGGATGGGTATTCGGGTTATAATCAGATACCAGTGGCACCGGATGATCAGGAGAAGACCACTTTCACATGCCCTTATGACACCTTTGCATATCGAAGAATGTCATTTGGACTTTGCAACGCTCCTGCCACATTTCGGCGATGCATGATGGCAATTTTCTCAGATATGGTAGAAAAATTCATTAAAATCTTTATGGATGACTTCTCGATCTTTGGGACCTCATTTGATGAGTGTTTGGATCACTTAAATTTGGTTTTGCAAAGATGCAGAGAAACGAACTTAGCATTGAACTGGGAGAAATGTCATTTCATAGTTCAAGAGGGAATAGTCTTGAGACATAGAGTATCGACAAAGGGGATAGAGGTGGATAAGGTGAAAATTCAGGTTATTGAGAAATTACCACCACCTACATCAGTAAAAGGAGTTCGAAGTTTCCCTGGGCATGCCGGGTTTTACAGGAGGTTTATAAAGGACTTCTCCAAAATCACCAAGCCTCTGTTCAACTTGCTAATGAAAGAGGTATCTTTTGAGTTTGATGAGAAATGTTTGATAGCGTTCAATACTTTGAAGGAAAAACTCACAACAACGCCTGTGATTGTGTCACCTGATTGGGATTTGCCCTTTGAGCTAATGTGCGACGCGAGTGATCATGCAGTTGGTGTGGTATTGGGACAAAGAAAGAATAAAATCTTTCATGTGATATATTATGCAAGTAGAACTTTGAACGATGCCCAAATTAACTATGCTACGATCGAGAAAGAATTGCTAGCTATGGTTTATGCATTCGACAAGTTCAGATCGTATCTTGTTGGGTCTAAGGTTATCGTCTACACAGATCATGCCGCTCTGAAGTATCTTATGACAAAGAAGGATGCTAAGCCGAGATTAATCCATTGGATATTGTTGTTGCAAGAGTTCGATATTGAGATCAAGGATAAGAAGGGCAGTGAAAATGTGGTAGCCGACCACCTATCAAGATTGGAACGGGATGAACTTGAGATGTCAGTTGACATCAATGAAATCTTTCCAGATGAGCAAATTTTTGGAGTAGAAATAGTCCCATGGTACACTGATATCGTTAACTACCTTGCTAAGTCCATCTCGCCACCAGAGTATTCTAGCCATCAAAAAAAGAAGTTCTTTGCAAAGCTGAAGTATTATTTTTGGGAGGATCCCATTCTCTACAGAAGAGGCGCAGATCAGATAATCAGAAGATGTATTCCTGAAGATGAAGTACCTGAGATTCTAGAACATTGTCACTCTTCTGCATATGCTGGGCATTTTGGAGCTTCAAAGACGGCTGCAAAGATACTACAGTCGGGTTTCTATTGGCCTACTTTATTCAGAGACACGTTCGAGTATGTGAAGAGAAGCGATAAATGTCAACGAACCGAAAATATCTCAAGAAGAAATGAGATGCCACTAAATTACATCTTGGAGGTTAAAATATTTGATGTATGGGGAATAGACTTCATGGGACCTTTTTCCCCATCGTACTCAAATCAATATATCTTGGTGGCCGTTGACTATGTCTCTAAGTGGGTGGAAGTTGTTGCATTGCCTACTAATGACGCGAAAGTGGTGATAGAGTTCTCGAAGAAATACATATTTACAAGATATGGTACACCGAGGGCAATAATAAGTGATGGAGGCAAACACTTCATAAATCGTCAATTAGAGCAGCTATTGAACAAATATGGGGTAAAACGTAAAGTAGCAACTCCATATTGTCGACAAACCAATGGGCAAGTTGAAGTTTCGAACAGGCAGTTAAAAAGAATACTGGAAGTTACAGTGAACTCATCCCGAAAAGATTGGTCTAAGAAGTTGGATGATGCACTGTGGGCATACAGAACAGCATTTAAGACACCTATAGGAATGTCTCCATACCGCCTAGTTTTTGGGAAAGCGTGTCATCTACCATTAGAGTTAGAGCATCGAGCATTTTGGGCTATGAAACAGTTGAATATGGATCTCAAGGCTGCTGGTAAAAAACGACTGCTGCAACTTAATGAATTGGATGAGATGAGAATGAAAGCTTACAAGAACTCAAAGTTGATCAAAAAGCGCACCAAGAGATGGCATGATTTAAATATTCAGAGGCGAGAGGGCAGAAAGTATTATTGTACAATTCTAGACTCAAACTCTTCCCAGGAAAGCTAAGAACAAGGTGGTCGGGTCCCTATACCATAACTAAGGTGATGTAATATGGGGCTATTGAAGTGAGTCACGAGACCAAAGGTACTTTCATTGTCAATGGACAAAGACTGAAACACTATTGGGGCTGTAATTTCCCTAACAGAAGTCCACTGTGCAACTCAACAACCCAACATGAAGAAAATTCAGGAAAGTCGTGCTATCAACTATAAACAAGCGCTGGGTGGGAGGCAACCTACTGCATCCTTCAATTTATTTTATTGCATTTATTTTGGAATTTGTTTACATTTCGTATGTTTTATTAGGTCATCAATCATTCACGCATGATAGTCTAGGCACTACACGTTTATAGTTGCATGAATCGGGGTTAAAGATAATGTTTTGGGTGTTTGAGTGTGAAGTAAAGAATTTCGGGGTTCAAAGTCGTTCGTTTTATTTTTCGAGACGTTTTTCAAAAAAAAAATGATAATATTTTTCGAATAAGTAGAGTCGAGTCAATTTTGAATTTGAAAACCAATGTAGGGGGATTTTTAAAATTCATGGTGTGTTTGGGGTGAAAATTATAAGTTTTTATAAAAAAAATAATAATAATAAATAAATAAATTTGGTTTGGTCCATGAATCAATTGTCCCCATATTTCTTACACCATGCGGCCGCATGGTGTATAAGCAACGGGTTATTAACCTGTCACTTGCGAAACAACCCAAAATTTTTTCATTTTCTCCCCCCAAAACACGAACACATTTTTTCCCCCACAAATCCAACTTCACACGAGCACAAACCCTCCATCAAGCATCAAATCTTCACCCTAGCACCGCATTTATCTCGTCATTGCAATTGATATCAAGCAATTTTGAAGCATTCTCTCCAAGTTCATCTCACAAACTTCTAAAGGTAAGAGCTTTAATCTTTATGTAAAATTTAAAGCTATTCTTTAATTTCATGACATTTTCGAATTGGGTAAGTGTTAAATTGTGATTGAATTGTGATTTGTGGACTAGCCCTAAGTGTAAATCAAAAGCAAAGTGAAGGAAATTTCCAATGCACACAACGTGTTCGATTAAATGTCAATGAGACATATGATTCGAAATTTTGAACTTTTCAATTGCGTGATGATTTACATTGTTAATGTGAGGCGTACTAGACGAAAAATCTCATGGAATTTCATTGGAAAACGTTAACCTCACATATATGTGCACATAACCACATAAATTGCTAAGCCATGTCAACTCACGTCACTAACTTCGTCTATGTATTTTCCTAACTAAATGACCTCCGATTGTAGTGAAATTTGGATATATGCTAGACCACAATGAGTACTTTCATATGCCCGGACCTTGTCCGAGGAAATTTTAATATTTCTCGATGATGCTCGGGGCTGAAGTTGGTCACTTAATCATGGGTCGAATTTTCAAAAAAATGCATGTTAGAGCCATAGCTTTGAGTTTTTCTCATTAATGCAATATTGATGTTATAACTTCCATACGTTGAATATTGCACACATTTTGAAGAAAGTTTGGGGGATTCTTGCTTGACATTGATATTCTTCATCGTTTTCTTATTTCAAGAACTTGATACACTTCGTTCCTTATTTGTGTAGGATGCCGTCGAAGAGAACATCAAAAGGTAAAGAAAAAGTTGGTCCCTCCTCCAGCATAGCCCACACCAGAGAGCTTGTAGGAGGTGTACAAAGATTCCATGATGCAGAAACATTAGCTAGATATGAGAACATAATACGCCATTGGGGCATGATACCAGAGAGAAAGGTCTAGTTAGATGATTTCCGTGGTTTTGAGTTGACAAATCTGATACAAATTTGTGAATGGGAGAAGATTGTAGAAAAGCCACACCCAGTTTATGAAAGTATAGTCCGTGAATTTTATGCAAACTTCAATAGTGAAATTGAGACACCGGGTTCTGAACACTTACAACAAACGTGGGTGCAAGGTAAGTAGATAATGTTCTCCCCAGCCGTCATTCATGACTTCTACGATCTTAATTTGGACAATGTGGTCCCGATTCCCACTCAATTCAATTGGAATGAAGTGGCGGAGGTTCTCTTGGGAAGAGAGAATGCTTGGCCCTTACCCACTGAAGAGTGGCATCAAATTGAGCTTACTCCCTCCATAGCCATCCTTTGGGTCTTCATGTGCCATAATATCGAACCCACATTGCATCGGACAACTTTCACGGATCAGACTGCTGGGTTCATATATCATTTAGTCCGGGGATGCAAAGTTGATTTAGCTACTCTTATTTTTGACAAGATACAAAATTTGGGAACCTGGGGAGATAGGCGATTGTCAATGATTTTCCCTAGTCTGATTAGCGGGATATGTCTTGCCGCCGGTGTTACAGTTGAGGCAGGGGAGATGCCTGAGAAATCAAGCCCATTGATAAAGCTCACATTTGAAGCTCAGGAACGAGCTAGGGTAAGGAAGAGAGAACAAGACAACTTGAGCAGCAAGGACAAAATGCGCAGGAAGAAGGACAAGCTGCTGAAGATTTACACTTACCACAAGCCCCGCCACAACCAGTTGAGATGGATTCGTAGCTACTTCGACAGATATTTGCCATAGCCACTGGAACTAGCAGAGACATACAAAACCTCCAGCAGAGCTTCGAGACAATGACCACCACTGTTGAAAAAGTGCAGAGAGACCTCCACTCCTCTCGAGACTACACAAAAGGTGCTTTGAATGAAGCCACGGCTACGAGAAGGGAAGTAGAGACTATGAATGGTAGGTTTAACATGTACGCTGAGAGAATGGATAGCATACAGTGGCGTGTGAACGAGACTTGGGATCGCTTGGGAAATATGGAAAGTAGTCTTCAAGCCATTCAGGCCGAGCAAGCACAGCAGTCCGAGTTGCTGAGACAAGTCCTATCTCGCCTCCTGAAGATGATGCTGTGGGTCCCAGCTTCACACCACAGCCACCGAATTGATCAGGGGAGTTTTGTTAATCTCTTATTGCCAAGTTGTGTCCATGTTTTAAATTTTGCCATTTTAACTTTACATTTTACATTGAGGACAATGTATTGTATAAGTTTTGGGGATGGTAGCATAATTCCAAACAAATACTCGGCATGTAATTATTTTGCATATTAACAATCCATCATTAATTTTGACAAGTTTTTGCATGATGCATGCTTGATGAGTGAATCTTTATGAACGTTTGCATGCTTGTGTGGGTTTGGTAGCCTTGTCGGCTATGATGTGATTATTGGACATGTATAAGCTAGAACTGTGGATTTAGTGCAAGATTTAATTTGCTAATACTTGTTGATGCATTGCTTGACACTCTTTTGCACGCCACTCATGTCACGTGTTAAGTTATTGATTGGAATTTTAGAATAAATTAGGAGAAACCTAGAATAACCCTCTATAACATTAACCCGCAATATCACTTTAAGATAGTTTGGAGATGATTGAGCCATTGTAGGAAAACATGGACATAAGTGGGGGCTCCGTGCATGAAATTATAATGTGTGGATTGTTTAAACCCGGAAGGTGAGAAATAGGTGAAAACTTTAAGTGAGGATGGTTTTAGAAGTCAAATGTCTAGAAAAACAAAGAAGGGGCATAAAGTAAAAAGGGTTTAAATTATCACTTCTCTGAAAAAGCCTTTATGACTCGAGCAAGTAAGTCTGTAAGGGTTTAAAACCTGATACCCTAATACCAACTGGTTTGGGAGTCATCGACCTAAAGCTCGTTACATGGGTCATATAGAAAGCAATAAAAAGGAGAATTGATAAAAAGTCATCTTATCGAGCCTTTATAACTCAAGTGAATAAGACTGCAAGGGTTTAAAACCTGGTGCTCTAAAGCCAACTGGATTGGGAGTCATCGCCTAAAGATCGTTACATGGGTTATATAGAAAGCAAATGAGAAGATGACACAAAAAAAATAAAAATAAAAGCCCTCGTTGGACATTTGGTTGATAGAACTATAACCTCATTGCGAGGCAAGTAGCTTAGTTTAATTCTAAAGGTTGAAGCAATCAAAATAAGGAGAGTCTCTACTTGTTGATATGTGAACTTGTAATGGTAAAATCTATCCAAACTAAGAGAGGGTAAGGATTAGAATTGTTTAAACTCCTAACCTTAGAATACACCCCGGAAAAAAAATTGTGTGAAAAGAATACATTTGGGGTTTGTGTATCTCTTGAGTGACGTAAGGATAAATTTGACCACTATGGGTCTGGGATAAACTAATCATAAGCTTGATATGTTGGCATGAGTTCACACACACACACACACGTTGAGTATTGCATTTGATGAGTAAAAGTTGATTCAAATCTCGTACTCTTCATATTGTTTCTATTATTACTAAGTTCAATCCTGAGACACGGCAAGCTATTAAGCCATATTTGTTTAGCATTAAGTCACTACATTGTTTGAGGACAAACAATAGTTTAAGTTTGGGGGATTTGATAAGTGTGTTGTTACACACTTATTTAGCTCACAAACATGACTTAAACATGGACAAAGTAGTTGAATTGTGACTTAATCTCGTTAAATTCTTGCAATGTAGGTGTTCCCATGGAAAAGATGGAATTCAGAAGAAAAGAGCCGAAAAATGACCAAAACGGAACAAAGCGATAGTTCGGGGACCAATGGTGCAAATATTGAAAAATTGAGCTAAAGTGCAGAATTAGAATGAAAATATACCAAGTATGAGATTGAGGACAATACGAGACGATTGGAGGAAGAAAGAAGTAACATTGGACTGAATTGAAGAAAAGTGAAAGATGAAGGACTAAATTGTAATTAATCAAAAGATGAGCCGAGCAAATGATCAACGAATGGATTGACCCAAACATCAATTAGGAGTTAATATGTGATAATGGAACAAAGGAAAGAAAGAAAAGAGAAAACGGAGTTCAGGGACCAAAATGACAAGGTTGTAACTTTACAACCTTGCGGCCGTATGTAACTATACCATGCGGCCGCACATGGTGATGCAGGGTTTTAATTGAGCAAAAAAATTGAACCATGCGACCGCATGGCCTTAATTTCGAAAAAAAAATTTGAACTTCCGTTTTTAATTGAAACTCTTTCGGGGCTACGTGAGGACATGATATAAAAGTCAAAATTCATCAGAAATAGGGCAGAACGTCCAGGGAGAAGAAGATACAACTTTTGGAGGCAAGGAACACGAACTTGAAGCCGATTTCACAAGGATTCAAGTGGATTTTCAAGGTTTTGTTCAAGATTTCAGATTTCAAGAACTTTCATACGGGTGTTATTCTTTCTATTTATTAATTTCGTTTTTTTTTTGTAATTATGAATCTTCTAGGCTAGGTTTTCAATTACTAGGTGATCGATGAACCGTTGTTTGTTATTTTAATTCTATATTTCATGAATTTAATATAAAGACTCGTTTGGATAATTTGATTGATTTACATGAATTAATTTTCTTCCGTAATTAGTGGCCAATGATTGTGTGAGTGTTGATGACTTATTTCTTACATTCGAGAGAAGTGGAATAGGTTCGATAAGGTGTAAATTAACATAGGGTCCGATATGGGATAGAGATATACCCCTATGCTTTATGCAATTCTTAAATTGTTCACAAAACTACATGCATTCTTGTATGTTTGCATCATCCATAGAGATATAGGCTGGCGGTGTGCAAGAATATGTCTAATATATATCGAGAGAGTATATTGGATAGAATTAGGAACATTGAATTGGCAAAATTTCATCGAATCATTAATTTTATGAAATTAGGGTTTTTATAACTTCAATTGGGGATTCGTGATCCTAGTGACTTTAGTTTGATTTATTTTAATAAATTAGCTTTTAAACTTGCTTAATTTCATTTACTTGAGTGTTTAAGTCGTTTAATTAGAGAAATTTTGAAATTAGGGTTTCTAATTGAGAAATTAGGGTTTTCAATTGAAATTAGGGCTTTTAGTTGAAATTAGGGCTTTTAATTGAAATTAGGGCTTTTTGCATTTAGACCATATTTTCACTCAATTACATTCGGTTAAGGCTAGAGTATATAGAATTGAACTACTCAATCTCTGAGGGACGATATTCGGACTTTTAAAAATCCACTTTATTACTTGTTACGAACCGTACACTTGCGGTAATTTTAAATCGAAAGAATTATTTCGTGAACAGTGACCCCAGAGTTGGAGATCAGGATCTCTCTTCCAAGGTCCCCAGCTTTTCACTTTGGCATTCAGCCTCGCCAAAGGGAGGCATGTGGAGTGAGCCTCGAAGTTCAGGCGAGGTGACTCCAGAGTTGGGGATCAGGACCTCTCCTTCGAGGCTCCCACGCTTTCCTACATGTGGATGGTGCAGCCATGTAAAGGCTTCTCCCTTTGGCGTTCAGCCTCGCCAAAGGAAGGCATGTGGGATGAGCCTCAGAGTTTAGGTGAGGTGACCCCAGATTTGGGGATCAGGACCTCTCCTCCGAGGCTCCCACTCTTGAGAGTGGTAACTGAATTTAATTTCATTTTATTGAAGCTGAAAATTAAGCACATAAGCTGGGAAAGATTCTCCAGCGATGTACATTCATTGGTAGTAAATTCTAAGATGCTCAATATTTCATGGACGAGGCTGTGCCTTGCCATCCATGTCTTCAATTCTATAGGTGTCAGGTCGAAGTTCCTCTTTAACTGTATAAGGGCATTCCCAGTTTGGACCCATGGTACCTTCTCCAGATCCTTTGGAGGGGAGGAAGACTCTCTTAAGGACCAGGTCATTGATTCGGAAGGACCTCTTCTTCACCTTAGAATTAAAGTATTTGGTCATTTTCCTTTGGTAAATGGCGAGCTTCAACTAGGAGTCATCTTTTCTTTCAGCAATGAAGTCGAGGTTGAACCTTCGTAACTTGTCATTAGATATTTCGCTGAAGTGCAGACGACGTGGTGATGGTAAGCCGACCTCGACTGGGCTCATGGCTTCGATTCCATAGGCCATGAGGAAAGGAGTTTCTCCCGTGGAAGTTCTAGTGGTAGTTCGAATTGCCCAAAGCACTTGAGGTAGCTCATCAACTTAGGCTCCCTTTGATGCATCCAATTTCCTTTTGAGGACATGTTTAATCATTTTGTTTATAGCTTCAACTTGGCCATTGGCTTGAGGATGATGAGGCGTTGAGAAGTGCTTCTTAATTCCAAGTTCTTCGCATAGGTGCCTGACCTTTTTATTGTCGAACTGCCTTCCATTTTCTGAAACTATGGAGTGGAGGATTTCGAATCGGCATATGATATTCTTCCAAAAGAACTTGGAGGTGTTTGCTTTTGTGATTTTTGCTGGCGGTTCGATCGCAACCCACTTCGTGAAGTAGTAAATGGCCACAATGGCAAAGTTCGCGCCTCCTCTGCCTTTAGGCATAGGACCTATCAGATCCACACCCCACCTGGAAAAGGGTTACGGGCTGGAAACGACAGTTAAATCCTACGAGGTTGCCTCTAAATGGGGGAGAACAGTTGGCACTTGTCACATTTGCGCACGAACTGAAGCGCATCCTTTTTCAAGGTGGGTAAGTAGTACATTTGCCTCAGTAACTTTTGTGCTAAGGCTAGTTCTTATGAATTATTGTCACAAACACCTTCGTAGATTTCCCTCAGAATGTAAGTGGTCTTGTCTCTCCCCCACGCAGCAAAGAAGTGGGGAGGAGAAGCTTCTTTTGTAGAGTACGTCATCAACGAAGAGGAAATGAACTGACCTCTTCCCTCAGCTTGTAGGCCTCATCTTTGTCAGTAGGTAGGACATGGTCCTTTAGGTAGGCTATGATTGATTGCATCCAGGTGGGGGCTCCTTCGACCCGTAGCACCTCAGAGGTCTCGGTAGATGGCATGAGGATATGCTCAATTGGTACTACAGCAAGTAGTTTGGAATCTCTACTGCTCGCGAGTTTCGAGAGAGCATCTGTACGTGTGTTCTCGAGGCGAAGGATTTGCATTACTTCGAATTTTTCAAAAGATGGGAGGAGGTTCATCACTATCTTCAAGTAGGAGGCCATGGTTTTATCCCTAGCTGAAAAACTACCTTTCACTTGACTTATCACCAGCTGGGAGTCACTATTGATACGTAGCCTCCTTACTTGCATCTCTTTGGCTAATCTAAGGCCTGCGAGGAGCACCTCATATTTAGTAGTGTTGTTGGTCGCTTTCCAAACCTCACGACTGAGTTCAATTTGTGACCTTCTGGACTGACCAGGAATACTCCAGCTCCCAAACCTGTGTCTCCAGCCAAACCATCCACGAACAAGTTCCACGTGGGGGGCTCAACAGGTTCCATAACTTCTTCCACCTTGGGTACATTGGCGAACTCTGCTACAAAATTAGCTAAAGCTTGGCCCTTGATGGCTACCCTTATTTTAAAGACAATGTCGAATTCACTTAGCTCCACTGCCCATTTCAACAGTTTTCCTGAGGCATCTGGCTTCTGTAGCACTTGTCTCAAAGGAAAGTTGGTTAGCACGTGAATGGTGTGTGCATGGAAGTAGGGCCTCAGCTTCCTAGAAGCTGTGATCAGGGATAAGGCTAGCTTTTCCATGTCGGGATAGCGAGTTTCTGGAGATAGGATTACCTTGCTGGTAGTGGGGAGTTGGGTGGCTCCTTCCTCTCGGATTAGGACTATGTTGATGACCTCGTTGGAAATGGCCAGGTACAGCTGGAGGATATCACCAGGCTTTGGCTTGGAGAGGAAGGGGCCTGCCTTAGATGCATTTTCAAGCCCTAGAAGGCCTCTTTACATTCCTCGTTCCATTCAAATTTCTTCCCGACTTTCAATACCTTGAAGAACGGGAGGCATTTATCGGTGGCCTTGGAGACAAAGCGGCCAAGGGTTGCCACACGTCCCGTTAGGCTTTGGACTTCCTTGGTTTTCTGGGGTGATCCCATCCCGAGTAAGGCATTGATCTTTTCAGGATTGGCTTCAATTCCTCTTTGGTTGATCATGTACCTAGAAACTTGCCAGAGGCAATGCCAAAAGTGCACTTGAGGGGGTTGAGCTTCATCCTGTACTTCCTGAGGATTCAAAAAGTATGATCCAAGTGCGTCACATGGTCATCCGCCTTCAAGCTTTTCACGAGCATGTCATCCACGTAGACTTTCATTGTCTTGCCGATGAGGTCTACAAAGATTTTGTTAACAAGCCTTTGATAGGTAGCCCCAGTATTTTTCAACTCGAAGGACATCATCTTGTAATAGTAAAGGCCTCTATCAGTGATAAATGAGGTGTTCTCCTCATCAAACGGGTACATGGGTATTTGGTTGTGGCCAGAGTAGGCATCCATGAAACTCAAGAGCTCATGCCCGGCAGTAGAGTCTACTAAGTGATCAATTCTCGAAAGTGGAAAGCTGTCTTTGGGGCATGCATTATTGAGATTGGTAAAGTCAATACATAACCTCCACTTACGTTGTGCTTCTTGACTAACACTGGGTTGGAGACCCACTTCGGGTAGATGGCCTTTCTATGAAGCCATTTTTGATATGCTTCTGCACTTCTTCCTTCAGAGCCTCATATCTTTCTGGGTTGAGAGCTATTATCTTCCATCGATGCGAGAGAACCTTAGGATCTATTTTTAAGTGGTGGCAGCTGACCTTGGGATCTATGCCCACCATGTCCTCGTGCCTCCAAGCAAAGACGTCAAAGTTCTTGCACAAAAAGTCTTTCAATTTCTCTTTTACGTCGTTGCTCAGGCCTACGCCCACTTTCAACAGCTTCACGGGGTTGCGGGGGTCGATCGGGAAGCTTTCTAGTTCCTCAACCGGAGTTGCTTAGGGTTCGTGCTCAATCACGCGGGGATTGTTAAGTGTGTTTTTGCACACGTATTTAGATCACAAACATGACTTACCTATGAGCAAAATGTTTAAATTGTGACCTAATCTCGTTGAATTCATGCAATGTAAGTGTTTCTATGGAAATGGTGGAATTCAGGAGAAAAGAGCCGAAAATGGACTAAAATGGAGCAAAGTGATAGTTCAGGGACTAAGGATGCAAATATTCAAAGTTGAACTAAAAAGAAACCCGGGAATGAAAATATGCTAAGTATGAACTCGAACACGATACAAGATGATTGGAAGAAGAAGGAATTGCAAAGGGACTAAAATGAAGAAGAATGTATGTTCAAGGACCAAAATGGACTTTTTGCATAGTTGGTAGCGCCGCATAGTGCTACTCTCTATGCGGTCGCATAGAGGCAGACTGAGAATAATTTCTTAAAACTTTTTACTCTATGCGGTCGCATAGAGTAATTCGGGAGCCGATTCTGCAGTTTCCTTATTTCGTCGAAACTCTTATGAAAACAAAATCTTTGGGGTCCTATATAAATGAAAACTCGACTAGAACGAAGGGGACGGCGATTGCAGAAGAAAAAGAGAGATTTTCAAGGACAAAACGAAGAGAGAACAAGAGGAAAATATCGTGCCAATTGAAGAATTGATTGGAACATGATTCGGGTGATGACGTTTCTTCAACTATTTTTGTATTTTCTTCTTTTTAGCATGTTAGGCTAGATTTTTTATGTACTGGGAGATCGATAAACCTTGCAATACAAGTTTTGATTTTTGATTTGGAGATTTGACATATTTAAACGATTTATACATTTTTATTTCCATATTATTATTGTGCACGTAATTATATGATTTTGGTAGCCTGTTTTATGCATTCGAAAGAAGGAAAATATGCTCAACATGGTATAAATCATCATAGGGTCCGATAGGGGATAGAAATATACCTCTATGCCTTGTGTGAATTGTTGAATATTCATGAAATTACATGCATTCCTGTATGTTAGTATTCATCATAGAGATATATTCGAATCACATATTGGAGTAGGTTTGACATTGCTCGAGAGAGATTGCTAAATTAAGATAGGAATATTGATTCATCAATTGTGGAAATGTGTGTTAAATTTGCATAATTGAAAGTTAAACGGGTGTTGCTTGGGAATTCGTGATCCTAATGCGTTAGTAATTCATTAATTCTATAAATTATCGTAGATTGCATCCATGTCATTTTGCATTTAGTATAAGTTTCTCACTCATAATTGCATCATAATTCACATCTTCCTTAGTTAAATCACAATACATACATCTTACTTTCGTGTTTCGATTAAGGTCATAATAGGTTGATTTGAATTAGTTCAATTCTTGTGGGATCGATACTTGGACATAATCCATTCTACTACTTGTTAACAAATCGTACACTTGTAGAGGGTTTCAAATCAAAAGAAATAATTTCGTGAACAAGTTTTTGACACCGTTGTCGGGGATTGAAATTAAGTTTATTTTATCTATTGTGACACTAATTCGAACTTACCTAGACTAGTAGTAGTTAGCTTACTAGACTTAGTTTATTGTTTACTTTACTTTAATTTTATGCTATTTTTACTATCTCAAGACTTGTATGCAAAGAGCACCTAATCAAGATTTGGTTCCTATTGATCCAGAGATCGAACGCACATTTTGTCACAGGTAAAGAAAAGCAAGAGCGACACAACAAATTCAAAAAAACTAAAAACAGCAACAATACATGGCTAATGAGCAAAATCATCCGGTAATTCAACTCAACAAAGGCGCGGGGGTTGAAGATGATGGAAATATGGTACTTGGGACTTCATGGCACCATTGGTGGTCCAAAGTCAATCTAGTATTGTGTATCCTCCATTTGGGCAACCGAACTTCCAGCTGAAAACAAATGTAATTCAACTGTTTTAGAATGGGCATCAGTACCACGGGATGGCTAATGAGAATCTATATACACACATATCCTAATTTCTGGACATGTGCCAACACTTTAGGTACCAAGGTATCTCAGAGGATGCTATAAGAATGCGATTGTTTTCACACACTTTATGGGATAAAGTACTTGAATGGCTGGATTCACTTCCCATCGCAAGCATCACCACTTGGAATGAGCTAGCCACAAATTCTGCACCAAGTTCTTCTCGCTAGCTAAGGTAGCAAAAATGGAGCATGACATATCTATATTCAACCAAGGCGAGTCCGAATCATTTGAAGAGGCTTGGAATTGCTTCAAAAATATGTTAAGGAAGTGTCCTCAGCATGCCTTTGATAAAAAGACACAAATCCGATTTTTCTACACTGGATTACTTCCATCCTTCAAGAGTATGGTGGATTCATCATCCGATGGGTCAATCTCCACGAGAACAATTGACGGAGCATGGGAACTATTTGAGAGAATGGCTATAACTTCAGCCATGTGGTCTACAAATCGAGTGGTTCAGAAGAGAACATCGGGGGTTTATGAAGTAGATACTTACTCAGCATTATCCACAAAGATAGACTCCTTGTTCCATAAGGTTGAGAGCATTTCACAGACCGCCAATGCAAAACAAGTCAAGAAGCCAAGCTGTGAAGAATGTAGAGCAGACCACAATACTGTCAACTGTCTAATTCTCACACAGGGGATCGAACATGCAGATTTTGTGCAATGGGGTCAACGCCAACAGAATAATTCACATTCGAAAACCTTCAATCAGGGCTGGAGAAAATATCCAAACTTCTCATGGAGTAACCAGAATCAAAATAGACCACAAGGTCAATTTCAGCAGCAGGATAAAAAGCCACCATTGGAAGAGATGTTTGAGAAGTTCATGGCAACGACTAATCAGTACATAGAGACCAACAACCAATTTATGCGAAAGACAGACGCAACTCTCCAAGGTCAAAGTGTTGCAATCAAAAATTTAGAGACGCAAATGGGACAGATGACAATTTCCATGACAGGTAGAGCACCAGGAAATCTACCCGGCAATACTGAAATCAATCCTAAGGAGCACGCAAAAGCTATAACAACCAGAAGTGGAGTACAACTACCGGAGATACATGTAAAACGACCGACAGCTAGCAAGGAATCGAAGCCTACCTCAGATGATTAGATTGTGGAACAGACTGAACAAACAACAGAGGATGTTGCCAAGAACAGTTCCAATACATCATGGGTTATGCTACCAATTTTATCAACCCTCATGAGCCACCTATTCCATTCCTGCAGAGGTTGAAAAAACACAAATTGGATCGACAATATAGTAAATTTCTTGAAGTCTTCAAGAAACTACACATCAACATCCCATTTGCTGAGGCACTTGTTCAGATGCCAAGTCATGCAAAATTCCTAAAGTATATCCTCTCTAACAAGCGAAAGATAGAAGATGAAAAAGTGATGCTAACTGAGGAATGCAGTACCAGAATCCAGAAAAGCTGCCTCCAAAATTAAAGGATCCAGGGAGTTTTACAGTACCTTGCACTATTGAAAATTGTCATTTTGATAAAGCTTTGTGTGATTTAGATGCAAGTATTAATTTGATGCCTCTCTCTGTTTTCAGGATATTCGGATTGGGAAAAGCTAAAGCCACAACAGTGACCCTACAGTTAGCAAATCGATCCCTTACACATCCAAGAGGGATCATTGAAGACATGTTGGTAAAAGTAGAAAAGTTTATATTTCTAGTAGATTTTCTCATTCTGGACATGGAGGAAGATAACGATGTTCCACTCATATTGGGGCGACCTTTCTTAGCTACTGGAAGAGCGATTGTTCATGTTCAGAAAGGGCAGCTTATATTGAGGCTTAGCGAAGAACAGATCTCTTTCAATGTGTTCAAGGCAATGAAATTTCCCACTGAGTCAAACAGTTGCTTCCAGATCAAGGTAATTGACAGAATAATTCAAGATACATTTCGGCTACATCATCCTTCCGATCCATACGAGGCATGCATTGCACATTCTCAATTCACTCACACTGATTCAAGTGAGATTGAAACATGTGCACGATTTTTGAAAACTAATACACCATACATGCGCAAGCGTCACTTCGAAGAACTGGGAACTAGGACTACAAAGTCAGTGTCATCTATTTAGCAACATCCCAAGTTGGAACTCAAACAATTACCACTACACCTTCGATATGCTTACTAGGGGGAGTCTTCTACACTCTCGATTATTATTTCAAATACTGCCAGTGAAGTGGAAGAGAGACTACTTCGGGTGCTGAGGGAGAATAAAACAGCTATTGGATGATCAATTGCAAATATCAAGGGGATCAGCCCGTCGCTATGCATGCACAAAATACTCATGGAGGAAAATTTCAAGCCAAGCATTGATGGTCAACGGAGATTGAATCCAAACATAAAGGAAGTGGTTAGGGCTGAGGTATTGAAGTTCCTCGATGCAGGCATCATCTACCTAATATCAGATAGTGCATAGATCAGTCCAGTGCAGGTTGTTCTAAAGAAGG